CAAAGTTAAGGTTGCCTGGAAGCCTTTCAGCGTGTAATGAGAAGGCACGACTTAAGTATCTGAAAAATACGAAGGTAAGGTTTGCTGGGTCAAGAGTGACTTTTGTACTGCAGGGCTTTACCAGAGGAGTGGGAGGATGCGGGCAGATACTCTCTCCAGCCAGAACAGCCTACACAAGTAAACGAGAGAGGGCGCCAGATAGCAAGGAGCACTTTTAGCGTGCTAACATCTTAATGAAATAGGGAAGGGAACAGCTTGTTTGAAATCTAGGCATAGGTTGTATTTTCAGTGGGGTAGGGTGGATAGCCAAACATCCACACTTGGTAGCTACTGCATGCAACGTTCATTGCAACAGTTAAGATATATGAGCATTGACCAAAAAGTATGATTTCTTGCATTCATGCCAACCCCTCCAGCCTTTGTTCAACCAGAAGAATGGCCTTTGTCACTCCACTTTGAATAGAAATGTGAGAGCAAACTCGGTAGGAACTCTACAGATTCCTTTATTTTTTACTGTCACTCTGGTACCTCAGTTACAACCATGTGATACCATGTCTCTACCCTGAATTGGTTCCTTGTGAAACTAGAAAAATCCCAGAGTTTTGTTTGCAAAGACTTAAATCAGCACAATCAGAGTTGGCTCTCTGTGCTCCCAGGATATTGAATTAGGCTGTATGCAGCTAGGTTACAGCTTCGGCTCTGTTCATTTTCAGAGCTGCAACCAGCAGAAGGTGCCTGCACTCAGCAGACAGCAGAACCATTCAGGAAAGAGGACACTGGAGCTCTGTCAGACAGGGTCTACCAACTCCTTTTGCAATGACAAATCCAGAATGCATGAACTGGGCTGAACAGCAATTACTTCTACCTGTCCTCAAACACAGCATGCTTCCTATAAACATCTTCATGCTTGGTGGACTTTCACAGTCCTTCAAGTGTTTATATAGGTTGCATTTGATGTAAAGCTTTCATAGGGCTATCTTTAAGTTTATATACTCAAACATCTCTTATTTTATTGCTATGAAAACCTACTGGAAAGAAGTCTTTTGTGCACCACTAGTAAAAATCTGCAGAATTCATTTCTTTGAATCTTTTTCACCACTGGCTCCCTCACAGCTGCAATTACAGTATTGCCAAGCTAATGCAATACTTTTCCTCACCATTCCTTGCAGCTACACCTAAACATAGCCAGCACAGTTGTCATCTGTGCAGCTCACTGTAGTGATAACTGCCCATGGTGGGGACCAGAGTTAAGGCTGCCTAGCAGGTACTTCAGTTTCTGTTTCCTCGTTTTCAGAGGATTTTAATTTTGCACAATGCAAGACTACGAATGACTCAAAATATTACCAGGAGCCCATGAAATCTCTCCTTGCCGTTTGTTTTTGTCCCTGGATTAACAATGCTACCAATGCCCTCAGCTGGGAGCAAGCAGCAAAGTGGCTAGCAGTGATAACAAGAAGAAAGAGGCACAAGTGAGAGTTTGACCTCACAAGCTTTGTTTAGATGGCTGGTCCTTTTTAGTGTTTCCTCTTGTTATTCTTTCACATATTTGGGGGAATAGAAGGGAACTGTAGCCAAACCATTATACATGTTCATTCCATAATCTAAACATTTTTATCCCCTCTCTCTCTCTGGCAATTGTTTAAGTAGCTATAGTGGTATGCCAGAGAAATGGACGCTGGAGTCTAAAATTTTGCAAGATTATATTCTGGGCAGTGCACCAAGTACCAGGTAATTGTTGGCAGAACTACAAGATTAGATTTGCATTCTGCTTTGAGTCTACAGCAGTGCACAAAATGAGAGTCGAATAGAGTCCTTCAGGCAGCAGCTGGGACACTTAGAGCATGATTATAATGTGTAGGCAAAGTCCCAGAAAAACTTTTAAAATGGGGTGGCCTTCTGCCTAATTCCTTCATTCCCAAGTACTTGACAGAGTACTTCAAGACTATTCAGTACTTATGGAGGCTGTGCAAAGGGGCAAGAAGAGGGTTTATGGCTCTATTTTAAGTTTTTTGTTTGTTTGTTTGTTAGTTTTTGTTTTTGACTTGGACAAAAACTAGCCTTGAGGTAGTTCAGTTACTATATATTTGGCATGACATCATCAGAAATAAAACAAGGCCACTGCTGGTTCTTTTATAGGTTATTTAGGCAAGTGCTGATTTGCTTATCTGACCACATCAAGAGAAAACACATTAAGTCTAATACAAACAAGTTGCTTCTAGGAGAAATTCTGTCTGGGTATAAGTAAAACAAAGTTACATGGTGAGAACAATTAAAGATTGGAATAGGTTGCCCAGGGAATTGGTAGAATTTCCCTCACTGGAAATATTCAAGATTTGGCTTAGCAGCGTCCTGGACAACCTAACACAACAGCCATCTTTCCAACAGAAGGTTGGACCAGATGGTCTCCAGAAGTCCCGTCCAACCTAGATTCTTCTCTGATCTATGATAATACTCCGAATCATCATGTTTCAAAGTAAGTTAGAATAGCGGAAGAAGGTTTTTATTTTGTCTCATGTCAGACAGTGAGGATTCCAGTGCCTACTGAAATACTAACTTTATTGTGAAATGGTAAAGGAAGGAAAAGCAATGGTTGCATTGTAATTACAAACATTATTGCAACCAACTGTGGTCATAACCAATCTGGTAAAGCTAAACTGCATAGATAAACAGGAGAATGGAGGCTTCTGCAAGGACCATCAAAAAAAGTCATTAAAAGATATATTTTTTTTTTTTCCTGAAGAGCGCAGCTTTATTGCACTTAAATGTGCCAGTATGTTCAACCCAGTACAGCAAAAATACTGGAGTTGCAATGATGGATGTGTGTGTATGAAAACAAGCAAATTTTAAGTATTATTCTTTCCAATAAAAGCATAATAAATGCAGATATTTAAACTGCTTAAAAAAAAAAAAAAAAAGAAAAGAAAAAATGTCTTGATAGTGATAGAGCTTTTCCGTTGTAAATAGATCACTATCATATAGAAATGCACCATTTAGACCAAAAGGAAATATTAGATACTTTCTGAATTCTGCAGATCAAAACTGTATGTTTCATAGCTACTACAGCAAACCATTGTGTCTGGTACTATACAAATTAGCATTATAAGAAACATAAACAACAGTGCTAGCTTGGCCACGCGCTTTACATGTGTACATAAATTGCACAGCAGTAGTACAGGAGTTGTCTTTTCTTTTTCTTTCTCTTTTCTATTTTTTTTTTAGACTTAGTTACCATAGAAGAAGGTAAAACAAAGCAAAGCTTATGTGACCCATTGTATTACAGACAGACATGTATTTTGCAAGATACAGCAACTGCTGTAATGATGGCTAGAGCAAACACAAGCCAGATAACAAGATAAAGAAATGGATTACTTGTTACCCACATTAACAACCAGAAGAGCAACACAGTAAGTGTAAGAAAATCAGTGCAGAGGTACATAATATGCTGGTCCATTACATTTGCTCTCTTAGCTAGCAATGAAGAACTACGTGTCCAAATCTTACTAGCCAAATAAATCTTGGTTATAATTATTTGCTTAGATTCTTGGTTCCTGCTTCAGCATAAGATACTAGTTACAATTAATATGCCAGTTAGCAGTACTGCAGCAGATTCTGTGCCGTTGATGAGAAAATGTACTACAGTGAATGCTGGAATGAGGGAACTGCCCTCTAGATCTGCTTCTCTTGCCTGGGCAACTTCTTGCATGACTGCAGATGAGCTGGAGAGGAGCACGAGGCTAACAGGATTACGAGGATCAGCAGGCACCTCACCCACTGACATGATTAGTACATTGTGCCCTTTGTTGTGAAGGCTTATTACTTCATGGCTTTCCCGTGTAAGAAGCTAGGTTTATATGGATAGGTTTATGAGAAAGTAAAATGCTGCGAGAATCTCACCTTCATGAGCAGAAGAACCTGTAAACATTTTGGAATCCATTTACTACAGTTAGAAACCTAGGAGTGCTAAGGTTTTCATAACTTATTTAGAGAGTAAATTAAACAGACAAGACAATAACTTCTGAGGATAGGGAGGGAAAAAAAAAGAAAAAAGCCAAACTATTCAGCTCTTCTTTGCGTATCAGCAATGCTTTTGAACTCTTGCAACACATTCAGTGTGCAAGATGGTTTAGCAAATCCCTTTTCAATCACTATGTATGCTGTCTTGGATAGGCTCCCAATAAGAAGCTTCTCCATGGAAAATGGAGACTTGGAACAGGAAGAGTACATTTAAACCCCGTGCTTAGTCTTAATGAATGGTGAGGGGGGAGGGAAGGGGAGGAGGAAAGGCAACCGAAACCATCTGTGCCCAGAAGAAGCAAACCCAGATGTCATGGGGATTTAGTCCTCTCCTTCATTAATCATATCTGCAGGATCATTCAGCTTCTGCAGCACATGCCTGCTGTATTTTTGAAGGATAGTTAATAATATGCGAACATCAGCTCACTTGGGAAGAAAGTTTTGGTCACATCTTTGTTAATCAAATGGAAACAATTTCTGCTCCAAGTAGAATCATGCTTTGATTTACCTAATTAAGATGAAAAATGACAAGTCTAATTTGTAAATTTTGATGTCTTGCCTCAATAAAGGCTGTTTAAGGATAGTGGAATGCCTCTTTTGTCTGATGCATACAGTGGCACATCTTTTATTTGAACAAGAAGTATTTGGTTTTGTTCTTTAACTCCTGTAGGACCAGTTGAGGTGTTTGGTTTGATCATGCTCTCTGCCAACCAGGACACGGAGTAACTTGGATATAAAATTTCATACTGGCTTTTAATTTCCAAACATCCCGAACAGGGTAGAGCCACCTACATAATAGCAACAGAATGAGAAGTTTCCCTCATCTTTACAAAGCCAGGCAGCAGTGGAAGTCACTCAGCCTGTCTCCATCTACCAAACATCACCATACCTGAGCCTTCCCATTGCCTGTGCTGAAAGCCTCCTGCAAATACCAGCCTGTAAATGCATTTTCACCACTTACATAGCTTTTCTTTTTGTTTTCGCAGGCAGATGTGGTTGCCCTTTTGAGGAAGTAAAGAATCCACTGGATCTACAACACATAGATTTTATTGTGAACTTCCCACTGAGATCAACAGATTAAGCTGTGCCTTCTAGTTTGCCCTTCTACAGCTGTGAAAAGTGTAGTTAGCTGTGGTTTTATTTATTGGTTTCCATATGGCATCCCTGTTTCAAGGTGAGGGAACAAATCCATGCATTTTGTCTGACAATGAGGAAGCTTGCCTTAACAATGAATTTGCAGAGGATTCTGTGTTAGCTATTTTGACAAGAATGTCGTAACCAATTAAAATACAGTCTCTGTTGGCAGCTAAGCAGGAAGGATCACCTCTAGCATTGTCATTGAACAGATTTCATAACCTAGTGACTAAGAAGACAAGGAAATGGTGTTTGAATTTACCAGATATGATTTGTGTGTTTAGTAAACAAGAACATTTCAACATATAATTTATTTCAATTTGTGCATATACAAAAAAAAAAAAACCAACAACATAATTACTTGGTCACTAGGACAGGCAAATGGAGACATTTCTAGACAGCAGCCAGAGGCAATTCTCAGCTCTAGCATTCTTTAATTTATAGGAAAGAAGATCGAGAATCACATGTTAAGAATTCTGAATTTCACAGCCCTGTTCAGAGACTTCATTCCTTTCCCAGATACCCTTACTCCATTGTCATATTATCCTAACAAACTGAGTTTCCTTCTTACTGATTCCCATTTGTATTTGGTTCACTGAACCTCTTCACTTTTCCTGTTCTTCTAGATATAGCATTGCCTCTCCAGCCTTCCAAAGGTAGACTCCAGCTTCAAAGACTGGTATCAAAAGAACAAGATTAAAATAGAGCTCTCGTTAAGTTCTTGACATGGCAGGAGAAAGGGCCAACAGCTCCTACAGTAAAAAGAGAGAGAGAAGGAGAAAAGAACAGGGGAACTGTTCACCACAGGGCTGGAGGATAAATTATTTCAAAGTTAAGGTATGGTGCAGTCTCTTGTTTTTGTGAGGTTACTGGTTTCAGAGGATTTTTCTATTTAAGTTCACATGGTGTTCAGACTGCTCTTCCTTCTCCATGACCAGAGTGTCTAGAGCCATACTCAACAGAATGTTTATTTGTAATAAATCAATTTTAGAATGTGTTTTTAAAAAGCAATCTCAGTATGCAAGTTAGTAAAATGCCGTACATACTAAGAACTTGTGTATTCAGTTATAAAAAAGTATAACCTACTCAGAATATGTTCACAGGTTTCTGTTTGCATTTCAAGTGAAATGGGAACCAAGACAGTGTAGGGCCTTTACAGACACAGAAAAGCACAAACCTTCTCTTGAGTGTACACAGTTAGCAGGCTGCCACTCTCCTAATTTTGGAGAAGCAATTCTTAAGTAGCATGCTTATGTTCTGCTTACCTAGTGTCTTTAAGGCCCGGGTACTTAAGTCCTCAGGAATTTCAGAAAGCAGAAAGGTCCTAGCCATCATTTACAATGTACTCTATTTTACTCTTCAGTGACTAAGGAGAGTTTTTTTACCCCAAGTGTTCTACCTTTCCACTAAAAGTATGTATTTCTGAGGAATAAGATGTGTGCTGTTTGGATACTAAGGCTGGAAATTTTAGATTTGTAGCAATGCAAACATCTAGTTGAACCTCCCAGAGCAGTAGCTAAAGCACGTCCAATTCTTACCTTTTTTAAGGTTATTTTATCAAAATACTATTTTTTGGATCCCCAACCAACTGTAATTCTGTTAGAGTATCTTCCCCAGCTAAATTTTAAAATCTCCTTCTAGCCCGTTGAAAATAGCTTATAAGAGTGACATTTTTCTGTTACTTATATGGAAGGGATTCAAAATATATTTCACACAACAGCCTGACCTGAGAAAAGGGCTCCTTTAATGTTTCAATGTGTCTTCCTAGTATTTATTATATGCAGCCTGGTTTTGACTTTCTGACAGTAATGATTAACAATTTCCTCTAGCAATACATAATTATTACATATCCTTGATGATTTTATTATTGCTGCTCTCTTTGTCAAGAGCACATTGTTATTTTGCTTACAGCAGTCAGCATTCTTAAATGGCTACTTTCTCTTAGAGAAATCTTACAAGGTAGTTTTGGATAATTACTTCTCTCTCCCAGAGGATGTCATGTGCATTTCACTTAAACGGTTCTGATAAGGTTCTGTGCTTCTGAGACAACCAAAAAGTTGTGGAAGAGTACACACAGGATGAACCCTGCAGCTCCCTCTTAAGCAAAGGCTGCAGTCAAGTGCTGTTTTGCACCATGTCAAAGCAACTGGTTCCTTGCACGCCTTACAATTAGAAAAGAGTTGGTATGCAGGGGAAGTAACCAGAAATGGCACAGATTTTATCGGTCTCTCTGATGAGCCATCTTCAGTTAAACAGCCTTGTGGTCATGGTAAGGACTGCGTGACTAAAAACCACTCAAAGTGTCTTACTTGTATGGTGTAACTATCTGTGTTGCGATGGATCTTGTTGTCATGTTTATGTCTTAGTCACATCAGGGTTACATTACAGGTCCCCCTACAGGGAGATAATAAAGAAGTGAGAGAATGAGCACAGAGACAACCTCCTTCTGCTTCCTCTCTCAAAATAGAGCTGGAGGCTGATACAAAATAAGGCAACCTAGTAACTGTGCAGTGCACTTTTTTGAGTATGAGTGCTTCTAGTATGTTCAGTGGCTGCCTCATGGGTCCAGACCACGTAGTGAAGCCACAACAGCCACCAGAGATGGATCTTCACTCCCTTGTTTGGGAGGAGATGCCAGCAGGGTATTCTCCACTTGGTTCCGTCATTCACTTTCTCTGTAAAATGGAAGAGCTCTACCACGTTGCCCTTTAGGATGTCACACAAAACAGCTATTTAGAGAAGTAACTATTTAGGAGATAAATTAAGCTGATTTTTCCCCCTCAAAGATCAGGATTTCACAGGGAGGGGAAAAAATAAAGGAAAATGCTTGCTTTGTTTTTGCTGGTGGTATTTTTGTTTTGGTAGTGTCACTTTATCATTGATAGTTGCTGTATGGTTGTGCTTCATCAGATTAAAATCTAACAGGGCCAATTTATCAAGAGATATCAAAAGAGATATCATTATCAAAAGATGGGTTTGTTATTAAACAGTAGAGAAGTAGGACCATTTATATCTGTTCTAGACCTTGCTCACATTTCTCATGGTATCTTTTGAGATGTTTAAGGTACAAACTTTGATATTAAAACACAGCATTTCCTTATCTTAAAAGGAAAAATATGGTCTTTAATTAGCTAGCATTTGTGAAATGCTTGGGGATCAGGTACTACCAAAGTGTAAAATATTGTAATTAAAAAAACTGTTCAGTTTTAATTTAGTTTTTACCTTCATTGTAATTAGACAGGGAGGCTTCCCATTCTGTACGCATGCTGACATCTTTCTTGAATATTAAGCTTTTGGGATTTGGCATATTTTCATCTGCTGAATGGCAAGACAGAACGATCCACTTTATGGCTCATGAATTTTCCATAGGTTTCCTCTCCACTCATGGAGCTGGCTTGCATCTTTCATGTGACTGTACATTATGAAAGGCTTCTCAAATACATTTGATAAAAGATATGCCACACCCACTGGAGGCCAAATTCTTCTGAGTTAAAGCCTTTAAAATGCACAACAGCACACAGCATGTTTCCTCTTTGTCATCTCCTCGCACAGCTCAAAGATGCACGATGAGCAAACCACAGCAGCCCCCTTTCTGCTTCGAGCAGGGCGTAACGATGAAATACATTGATGAAAGACTCCACTTTATATTACACCTCTAGAAGCGCAGTTCTTTTAGTGTTAGGCTCAATTCTCAGCTGAGATATTTATAGACTTGGGAAGCACTGCTGTATTGATGCTCTGGAAGCCAGTCTCCTTGGGGTAGATAAGCAGTTGCTCCATCACGCTGCCATGCAACCCGCATGTGCCTAGAGAGAACATTGAATACTGAGAACTTGCATTGAAGTTGCTTTCCATCAGCTTTAAGGAAGATGCTGTTTAGCAGAACACTGAACTTGGTTTCACATAAAGGCTTCCATGTCATCTTCAGTATTTTAAATCCGACTGAGTTCAGTGTTTGTTTAAAAAACGTAAGCTTTTATCTGAAAGTTTTTAATCATCCCGTGATCAACCAAGTGGTAAATTTTTGAATGCACTTAATGCACAATCAGCTTAAGCAAAACTTATGTTAAAAAAAAAAATTTGCAGGAGGTGACAGATGTGGGCAAGTAGAATTAAAAGTGTTTATGTGTAAAATACAGAACTTGCAGTCGCTATGAATCTGAGAAAGTCGCGTATGGTAAAAAGCCACGCTGAAATTGTCGTTCAGGGGCATGGAAATGCAGGGAGCCGAGCTGCGGTGCCCTGCACTGTGCACCCCAGCTGCCTGGGTTTTGGAGACTTCCAGGGACGGCGACTCAACCGCTTTCCTGGGCAGCCTGTGCCAACGCCCCACGACCCTCTCAGCGAAGAACTTTTGCCGATCATCCCACCGAAACCTCCCCTGGCACAACTCGAGACCGCTTCCTCTCGTCTTAGCGCTTGCGATGACACCGCTCCCCGCCACGCTACCTCCTTTGGGGTACTTGTGGCGAGCGGCGAGGCCTCCCCGAGCCTCCTCTCCCGACTGACTGCCAAGTAACGGCTCCCCGCGGGCTTTGCCCCCCAACACCCCCCACCTGCTCCGGCGCCTCCCCGACTCCACGGCACCGCTCGAGGCTCGGCCGCCCCCCGGTGCTGCCGGCCCCCCCCCCCGAGGGAGCCGGGGGCGGCTCCGGCCGCCGGGGCCCGGCCTCCCGCTGCCGGCGGCGGGCGGAGGCGGCGCCTGCGGGAGCGGCGCGGGGCGGGCGGCGGCGGAGCTCCTAGGCTGCTGTGCCCGGCAGCCCCCGGCAGCCCCCAGCCGCTCCGCGTTCCGCCGCCAGCATGGGCGGCTCTGCTTCCAGCCCGCTGGACGACAGCAAGTGCGCCTACATCCGAGGTAGGGCCCCGGGAGCTTTACACCCCAGGCGGCCGGCCCCCGACGGCAGCGCGGGGCTGGGGGAGCGGTGGCCGGAGCTGGGGCTGGGGCTGAGGTTTGGTCGGGGTCGGGGTCGGGGTGAGGTCTGGCCGAAGTCGGTGGGACTGGTCCTTTTATTTTTATTTTTTTGCAAAGCCCCCTGAAGGCCGTGGAAGAACGGCGAGGGTGGCGTTCGGGTGGGCAACTGAGACTGTCAGCACAATGTTTTGTCCCAGCGAGGAGTTAGGAGAGGCGAAGCGAGAACCAGGCTCGCTTCAATTGTGCGCGTGGTGCTGTTGAACTAGGAAAGGAAAGAGCGCAGCGCTCCTTTTGGGGGGTGTGTGTGTTACTCGAGCACCAGCAACTGAAAGGCAAAATAAAAAGCGTTTTTCTCCCACCTGGCTACCTACGCTCCCCGCCACCGCGGCAGCAGGTAGGACACTGAAAAAACAAAAAAAGCAAAACATTTTAAGACTGGAGAGTTGCAAGCAAAGTACAAACTTTGCACGCACTGGGGCAGCCCTGTTCCAGTGCGGTGCGTGGGGATCCCAGCTGCAGCCGCTTCTCTTACTATCACAGCAGATCTTTCAAGAGATTCCCAGAGCAGGTAGCACTTCCAAACGTTAGATGGCTCAGACCCAAAAAGCAATTGGCAAAGCTGAGGGCCTCACACACAGAGATTTTGCTGCGGTGTCCACTCAGTACTGTCATTTTTTCCTGCCCCGTTGAGGGTTGTCTCAGCTCCATCTGAGCCGAGCCACGAGGGAGTAATCTCTGTGGACTCCATTTTCGTTGGCACTTGCTCCCATGTTGCAGCCAAAACAGCACTTAGACGCTGGAGCCTTTCAAGTTTTCTGCTCCGTATCTGTATGAAGGCAGTTGGGAGTGCCTGAAAAGCCTTAAGTGGAATTACTGAAAAAAAAAAGAAAAAAAAAAAAGATTCAGGGAGCTTATTAGCTTTTCAGTTGTACAAGAGGAAATCATGCTGATCCTTGTCCTGGACATCGTTCTCCACTAGAATGGAGAACTCGTGTCAGAGGGCTGTGGAGATCTTGTCTTTCAGTTGGGTGTGAGGCTGGGCTGGATGTGAATATCTCATGGCAAGGGTGCCACTGCTGTGCCGAGAGCACATTGCACGCAACCGTATCTTGCCTAGCACATCTCTGCAGAGCCAAACGATAAAGCGAAATCATCATGAAAACCACACTTAAAGTGTTGTCTCGAGCCTGCTGTCCTTGCTGGAAGTGAGAGTGCCCTGCTCAGCTCTTGCTTTGAAAAATAATGAGGCGCTTTGTGCCGAGGCAGCCCATAAATTATTACTTCCAGAAGGAAAAGCAATCAGGAAGAGCATCTTAAATCGAAACGTGTCTCGAGAGCGCAGCTTGCCAAGCCTACCGCTTATGTTGGGGCTGGTGTCAGTATGATGCAGACCCCACTCACCATCCCGCCGTGTTCTGGGCTGACGGGTGGCAGGAGCTGGTGCCACAGTGAGCCGTCCTCCATCAGGGAGGAAACACACCAAATTTCTGGTGCTGTAGCTTAAGAAAAAAAAAAAAAAACAGAACACATTTTTAGCTTTTTAAAGGTTAGGTGGATTTCTCCAGGGCGCTGGGAGTTTGTTTTTTTTGTTTTATTTTTCTACTCCAAATACGATGGTGGGCGGTCTGTAATAAAAAGGGAAGGGGGATACCTGCTCTTTGTCAGTAAAGTGGCTGGTCTGTAGCAAGGACAGCTCTGGTGAGGGAGGCCGTGAGACGTCAGGCTCGGGGAAACACCGGCCTCTCCAGCTGGAGACATGAGTCCAGAGAACATGATGGGAGCATCCGACGCTGAGTTGTGCTTACTGCCTGCAGAGGCTGCAACTTCCCCTTAAGGCTGCTCCAGCTTCTCTCTTCCTAAGGAAGAAGTGGTGGCGTTGAACCAGCCTGACTGCGAGTTGCAGAGCGCTGCCTGTGTTTGAATGGGGGGCTTGTGGGGTTTGCTGCTGGGAATGAGGTGGAGGGGATTTGGGGAAGAGTGGGATGCTGCGTAGTGCCAGCAAAGGGGCGGGCAGGCAGACAGGCCACATGTGCTGCTGGGTTACCCATGCCAAACCTCAGCTGCTTCAAAGATGCCCTCTGTTCTGTGCAGCCTGTTTTTCTAACCATACCTATGGTAATTTTTTCCACTTATTTAGGATCCTGAAAATATTTTAATGTGCATGTGTTATAAGCAGAAAATGTCTGATTTTTGTCTCTCTGAAATTAAAGTAGATTCTTTGTAGGATTTTGGTGGGACTACAGTCGAATTATTCAGGATGATAAGACGCAAGCAAAATAGAGATTAAAAAATTGACGGTAATAACTCACAGACTGGCAGTTGGTCATGTGAAAGGATTTTATTAAAAAAATTCATGCTCACAGTTTGATGAGGCATGGGCTAAACCTTTGATGGGAGGTGTTTGTTGCGTGATTTGTCTAATGATGTTTAATGAATGTTACACCCAACAGGGAGCAGTATGGGCTGGTAGCGGGGAGTTACGGACTCAGGGTGCAATTATGAAACTGGGGAAAAAGATGAAAGTGCCAGGAGAAACAGCTCTCAGTATGCCCTGAGAGACTGTGCTGGAGATTTCAAAGGGAGCTGGTAGAAATGTTTTGATTTGGGTCTCTGCTGTTAGACAAGGCACAGCCAAGCGGGGCAGTGGCACAGCGGGGAGGAGGGACAGCCCTGGGAGCTTCATGGTTTTCCATCTCTGTAGTCTCAGTGTGGTGGTGGTGGACCAAGCTCTGCTCTGTCACATGTGGTCTGGTGTGACCAAACGTTTTAAAGTTGGAGAGGCAGAGAGATTTCAAGGGCTCAGTGTCAGCAGGTACATCCTCAAAAAAGCCTGGCATACAAAAATTGAGGTTCTCCAAAGGTTGTTTTTTTATACTTGACCATATCTGATCTATCCATTGCTGTAAAAGTAAAGCTGTCTGGAGGACAAAGCTTTGTAGTCAACTGCTTCTGATTTGTTTGTGTGTTTAAAAGCAGTTTTTCTTCCTTCCTTTCCTTCTTTTCCGTTGTTTCTTTTCTCACCCAGGCAGATGGGGCAGCTCGGTGATGGTGCTGTGACTCCTGAGGGTTTCCTCATTGTTCAGGACTTTTTTCCTCGCAGACCTTCCAGCCATTCTTCTTTTCATCTGACAGTGAGAGCTATTACTTAATGTCTGCAACAGATTTCTTTCTGGTCATTTGCTTTGCCTATGAGTTTCAGCATGGTACTAATTAAGATGGGATTTTTTTTGCCCAAGGATAAAACACTTTTGGTGTGTTCCTGCAAGATGCAGCATAGCTAGAAAATGTGGATGGTCTCCTCGTGTTCTGTCGAGTTTTAGAGGCTGAAGAGGAGCCTGGTGCACCCTTTACTTAGAAAGCAAGATAAGGAAATTGGCTGCTTTGGAGGAAGCCGTGTGCACACATACATCAGTGTTATGGAGACAAGTCCTGCCGACTCAAGGAGAGATAGCCCAAGTGCCTGACACAGCTCTGGAAGCAAATCCTTGCCAGCAGCCAGCTGGTGTGCACATAGTCATAGGCAGGGGTGCTGGAGGATGGGGGAATAACTTGGAATTAATTGTGGAAAAGTTGGCCTTTTTTGGACAGGCACTCAGCCTGTATATTTGATTTTCTGCTTTAAACTGTCGTGCAGTCCTTCTGGTTTTAATTTGGTGGACGGCTGCAAGTACAACAGAATTTTGAGAAAATCTGGCTGTATTTACTGCCTTTTTTCTCAGCCTGTTCCAAGTTATGTTTCGCTGTTTTTTGGAAATCCTCTCTCTCGATTTCTACAGGTTAGCATAACTGTAAAAGCATGAACAGTAGGTGTAAATAGTCACGCAGAATGAGGAAAAGGAATGGAAATGTGTAGGAAATTCAAATTAGAATATGGATATGTTTCTGTTCTTCATTATGTTCACCTTGCTAAACCTATCAACTTTTTGCAGATCTTATGAGATTTTGAAGAAAGATCCTTTTGCCTTTACTTGCTTTCTGAGAAGTTTTAGTCCTCAGAGAGGGTGTTGCCACTGGAGCCAGTGGCAGATTGTCATCCCATGGTTTTAAAAACTGGTGCCTGCCTGTATTGGAAAGGAGAGCCGGCTTCTCTTTGGTTCTTACACCCTTTAATTCTTGGGGATGGACGCTTTATCTTAGCTTTTGACTGAATACAAGCAAAGGCTGTTGAGGGGCATGAATGATGGGAGAGGTATTTGCCACCCAACTTGAAAAGAATTTACTGAACTGGGTAACTTGCTGATTTCAGCTTTGTGAGGCTAAGGCAGGAGGCACCTTTTCTATTCAGTTTCCATTGCTCGCACAGTCCCATTTACTAACTTCTTTGAAAAGTACTGCCAGCAGTTTTGGAAGTCTGCAGTCAGGTTCTTTTGCAACCAGCATGGTACAAATGAGAATTTCCCTCATTAAAACGGGAGCTAAAATTTTGTTCTTCAATTTGCCAGTAAAAAGGTTGTCTGTGCTCACACCCCATTCCCCTTCTGCAGGCGGCCGGAGGTTTTCACAAAGCCAAAAATGTCAGGTATCCGTTTTCATGGCATGGTTCCCACTCCTGCCATGGCAGGTAGAGAGCCGGCTTTGGTGCTTGCCCTGGCTGGCCTGGTTGGCACAAGCTCTCTTCCACCAAAGCAATCCGTGTTGCTCATAGGAGAATGAACCCTGTGCTATGTAACGCTTGCTGCGGAAGCTGGCTTCACAAACTGGAGGGTGGCGTCTTGCTGGGAAATAAAGTCTCTTTGTGGTACTGTAGGTGAAGGTAAAGCTCAGTGTGGAGAG